TGACACCTCAGAGACATAGCCACGTTGGCAATTAAAAACCTCACCCACATCTGGGCAATCATTAAAGTAAGTTTTAATTGGTACATACTCACTGTTAACTCACTGTTAACATACTCACTGTTAAACACCGAAGAAGCCATATTAAAGATGAGGAAAGAGGCTTCACTTACCAATAGGATAGTGCTGTAACTTGGGTGATATTCAAAGAACCTTTTTGGCAGCTTCACTTGACTCTCCAATAAGTTATTCTTGAGAATACATAAAGTCATGGTTTCTTGGTAGACAGATGCCATGAGCTGGCTCCTAGATCCAACCAGAGGCTCGCTGCTGAAAGCATTATTATTTGGGAAAGTGTTAGAAATATAAAAACTCAGGCCTGACACGGTAGCCTAATGGCTAAAGTCCTCGTCTTGCACATGCCAGGATCCCATACGGTCACCAGTTCTAATCCCAGTGGCCCTGCTTCCCATCCAGCTCCCTGCTTGTGGCCTGGGAAAGCAGTTGAGGTTGGCCCAATGCCTTGGGATCCTGCACTGTGTGGGAGACCCAGAAGAAACTCCTGGTCCCTGGCTTTGGATCAGCTCAGCTGCAGCTGTTGTGGCCACTTGGGGAGTGAATCATCAGATGAAAGATCTTCCTCTCTGTCTCTTCTCCTCTCTATATATCTGACTTTGCAATAAAAAAAAAAGAAATATAAAAACTCCATTCTACTTAAAGCCTTTTGGATAGAATGTACATTTAAACAAGACACCCAAGGGATTTGTAAACACACTGAAGTTGCACAGGAAGTGATCTGGGTCATAGACATCTTTGAGAATCTGATGGAAGATGAGATCGCAAGTCCAGCTACCTGTAGGAGCTAGGCAGCTGATGGAAGTTGGAAGTAGGTGCGGACTTGGACAAACCTGGAAAACATGCTCAGCCTAAAGCAGGCATATGAAATTTTGTCCTAAGTATCTGTCCTAGGGAAATGCAGGCCCAGTATTCCTAGGTGTTTGCATTTTCTAAGCTATGTGAGGAAGGCAGGTTTGAATGAATGATTTCTATGTTTGAGAGGCAGAGAGATAGAGCCAGAGAGGCTTCCATTCATAGGTTCACTCCCCAGTGCTACACTCTGTGGAGCGCCCACACGGAACTGGGAGCCACTGTGTCCCTACTGTGGGCGCCTCGCAGGGCAGGCACTGGCACTAAGCTAGAAACAGGAGCAGAGCCAGGACTCTAACCCAGCACTCAGAGGTGGCGTGTGGGCATCCTAATTGGTGTCTTCACTACTGTAGGCCAAGCACCCACCCCTAGATTAAAAAAAAAAAGTAAGAAACTAAAATTGCCATAGTGAGAATTAATTCAGTTTAAAATATTAGATCAACTAAAATACCAACAGAGTCCTCTCCTCCACATTGGAATGTGGGTTTGAGTTCCAGCAACTTTGTTTTGTATTCCATTGCCTAACCAATCCACCTGGGAAAGTAGTGGACTATGAGTCAAATAACTGGGCCCTGTTCCCAGGCTGGAGAGGCCAACACACACACACAGGTCCAGGCCCTTGGTTTAGGACAGGGTCAGCTCCTGCCGTTGCATGCATTGGAGAGTGAACCAGTGTATGCGAGATCACTCCCTGTTTCTTTGTCTCTCTCCCTTTCAAGTTAATAAACACTATCTGAGGAAATACAAGCATATGTATTGGTGACAAAAATCTATATGTGGGATCTTCAGGCAACCCCACGAAAGAACGTGGAGTTGAAGTATGCCACACATGTTCCTTTAAACGTCAATATCTGGCACCCTGTTATCAAAGAAAAACTGTACCCAAGGTGGGAAGTGCACCCCTCTTCCCTCTTTGCCATTTGCCATGGTGGGCAACTGACTTTTTTTTTTTTTTTTTTTTGACTTATGTGAGATGGAGTAACTTTACGGGGTTAAAGAAAATTAACAAAATACTGTATGTAAAAGCACTTTTGAAAAGTATCAAGGCTGGCGAATTGAACCAGGGCAGCCAGCAGCTGGGTTCCCGTCTGCCCGGGGCTGACCCCAGCCCCCTCCCTTCGCCGGCGCGTCTCCATGGCAACCGCTCCTGCGCCGGGGCCCTCGTCCCTGCCAGGACCGGAAGCGACTTCCAGCCGTTCACTTTTCCTGGGACTGCGCAGGGTCCGTCCTTCCAGATCGGAAGGTGAGAATCCAGGCCTCGTTAGGGCCCCTAGGCCGTCGGCAGAAGTGGCGGCCTGTGGGGACGGAACGAGGGTGCGGGGGACGGCCTTGGACCTCGGCACCCGGTGACCCGCTCCACCTGTCCCCTCCGCTGGCCAAGGCCCGTCCCCCGACCCGCCGGCCCGCAGAGGCCTCGGCCACCCTCTAGAGCGGCCTGTCTGCGGAGCAGGAGGGCTGGTGAAACGCCCGGGCCTCTTCTCAGCTACCTGCTGGAGACCTCTCATTCCTGGGGGACGTGCCGAGTAGCGGGAGCGCAGGTATGGGGTCGCACAGTTTGTGCTGCTGGTGTCCACAAGGCTGCTTTGGCTTCAGACTCCCTCCCACGTCCTCCAGGCACGCCTTGGGCTCCAGCAGAAATTCCGGGTTCTCGGTTGGTCCCCAGTGTGTGTCTGGCCTGCTTGAGCAGGCAGGGCACTGAACAGGGGCCGGCAGAGAGGTCTCACCTGTCTCTGGCCTCTCGCCCTACAGCCTGGACTGGCTGCAGCCATGCCCACCCTGTTCTTGGTCACCACAGTGACCACTGTGTTGGCAAGGATTCGTTATCACAATATGGGGATAAGAATAAACCCCATGGCTTTTATGAAGACCTCTTGGGGCTCTTATTAATGTCTAGAATAGTGCTTGATACCACATAAATGTTATATGTTTTCCTGCTGTGTGCATCATAGCGCATGGCTGGCTAAGATGGTGTCACTCGGTAACGTGAGTGTTCTGAAGGCACAGGCTTTATTCTGGTTACCCAGTATCAACAGTGCCTGGTGAAGAGAGAAAATATCCAATCGCAAGCTGCATAACAAGGAAAACTTAGGTCCGAGATGAGCTTTTAAAATGATCATTTGTTGAACTTGTACTAATGTATTAAGTACCATGGCCCAAGTTTAAATGTTTGATTGCCATCATTACTAGTGATACATATGATTAACAGGGAGTGCTAATAAGCTAATCGGTGGGTATGTCATTCCCCTGATACATCACTGTGTTGCTGTTAGCATTGTGAATTCAGGCCCGGCGCCATGGCCCAGCGGCTAAAATCCTCGCCTTGAATGCGCCGGGATCCCATATGGTCGCTGGTTCTAATCCCAGCAGCCCCACTCCCCTTCCAGCTCCCTGCTTGTGGCCTGGGAAAGCAGTCAAGGACGGCTCAGGGCCTTGGGACTCTGCACCCACATGGGAGACCTGGAGGAGCTCCTGGCTCCTGGCTCTGGATCGGTGCAGCACCGGCCGTTGCGGTCACTTGAGGAGTGAATCATCAGACGGGAGATCTTTCTCTCTGTCTCTCCTTCTCTCTGTATATCTGACTTTGCAATAAAAATAAATAAATCTTTTTAAAAAAACATTGTGAATTGATACCCTTTTTTGTGTGATTTTTTAAAATGTACTTATTTATTTGAAAAGCAGAATTTGAGAGGAAGAGACATCTTCCATTTGGTGGTTCACTGTCTAAATGACTACAACAGCTTGACCAGGCCAAGCCAGGAGCCTGGAACTCCATCTGGGTTTCCCCATGGGTGTCAGGGGCCCATGCACTAGGACTGTCTCCTGATTCCCCAGGAACGTTAGCAGGGAGCTGGATCAGAACAGTAGCAGCCAGGACTGGAAGAAGTGGGCACATTGGATGCCAGCCACAAGCCCTCCACTCCCTCTTTTTTTTTTTTTTTTTGCAATTAAGTTGATAGCATATAACAAGATAAAACTGGCCAGTCTCCTTTGACCCCATTAAGCAGAGACCTTAAAAACATGCCTGTAGGAGAAAACAGGTGTCATTCATGCAAATGTGCCATCTAGTGGCGTTGTAATAGTGAAAATCAGAAACCGCCCCAAAATGATTCAAGTATAGATATTACAGATTGGAAGTAGAAGGAAGTGGAAAAACAGGAATCACTGGGACCTGACACAGCACCAGGGTGCCATAGAGGTGCTGGTTTGTGTCCCGGCAGCCCCGCTTCCCATCCAGCTCTCTGCTTGTAGCATGGGAAAGCAGTCGAGAACGGCCCAAGGCTTTGGGACCCTGCCCAATGTAGGAGACCTGGTAGAAGCTCCTGGCTTCGGATCGGCTCAGCTCTGGGCACTGTGGCCACTTGGGGAGTGAACCACTGGACAGAAGATGTTTGTCTCTCCTCTCTGTGGATCTGACTTTCCAAAAATAAATAAATAAAATTAGGAATCATTAAGATGGAGAAATATGCCACTGCTTTTGGTTTTGAATTATTCCTTTAATATCCAAGAATACAATTTCAACAGTGAACATTGAAAAGAATTCTTCACAAAAGTACTTCTCTCACGAGGGTATTTCTTTGCCTGCTTTGTTGCCAACTAGATAGAACCTACTCCATGGTTGTGGCTTCCCTCGGGCTCCCCTCTTTTCTGTTCTCTGAGAGCTTCTGGCTCCTGTTTAGTTAGTCTCACGGGTGTGGTGTGCAGAATAAACTGGAAATCACTCGTGCATAATGAGCACATGAGCTTCAGCTTTCTGGTTCTCTTAGAGGAAGCTATCCTCAAAGGGGGGTCTGATCTGGACATGCTCTCTCCCATTGTATCCTCCCCTCCCCAGATACAAAAAGAACATGTGTAAACAATGGTCTTGCCCACTTTCCCCTGATCCTTGATCCTTCCCACCCGGATCAACTATGTAAACATAATTGAAATAACAATTGTGAAAAAGAAAGGGTGATGTATGTTTAGATTAATGCTGGTGCTTTTTCTACAGCCATGTGTTGTTCTTAGTCATTTTGTTCTAAGAAGCATTGGTCCTTTATCTCTTCCATTTGTTTCACTGTGTTTAAGGCGTGTCCATCAGGAGAGCGCCACCACCTGGTGGGTTAGAGGTTAGCAGTCTTGTGCTACTGTCCGTCAAAATGTCTGCAAAAAGGAAACAGTCGACAGTCCTCCCTCTGCAGACTTCCCAAGAGCCCGATGGGGGTCTGGTGGTGAAAATGGAAGAGGAGGAAGAGCTGGCCTGTGAGCCCGAGTCTGGACTTCCCCGCAGCAGCTACAGTCCAGACACCTTCCGCCAGCACTTCAGGCAGTTTGCTTACTCCGACTCCACAGGGCCCCGGGAGGCTCTGGGCCGGCTCCGCGAGCTCTGCCAGCGCTGGCTGAGGCCCGAGGTGCACACCAAGGAGCAGATCCTGGAGCTGCTGGTGCTGGAGCAGTTCCTGGCCATCCTGCCGGAGGAGCTGCAGAGCTGGGTGCACGAGCGTCAGCCAGCCAGTGGAGAGGAGGCCGTGACCCTGCTGGAGGAAGTGGAGAGAGAGTTTGACAGGCAGACGGAGCAGGTAAGGAGGTGTCTGTGGGCGATGAACAACCAACTGGGCCAGGTGAAGAGCAGGTGTGCACCAGCAAGGGTGGGACTTCCCGCAGTGCATTCCCACGTGGCGCAGCCGAAGGTATACCTTGGTAACCATAGCTCTGGGTGCCCCCGGGTACTCTTACTTGTGTTTCCTGCATCCAGGATGTTTTCTGTACAGTGTCCTCTTTGTGATAGTATCCTCAAGTTCCCTTCTTCAGCCTTGGTGATTTTTATTTCCAGGTCTTACTTTTTGGACAAAGGAAGGACCTGACTGGAGAGGAGCCGGTGCCTTGGGAAGCCCCTGTGCAGTTCCCAAGTGGCCGGCTGGAGTCTGGGAGGCAGAAGCTCCCGTGGGCCGCATGGGAAGTGCAGTCCTTCAGACAAAATGGTGAGGCGCACAGTTCCGGTCCTGTGGGAGAGGGGCCTCAGCCCGGCACGGGACTCGCCATCTCCCCTCTCTCCTCCTCCTGACTGTGGGAAATTCCACTCTGACTTACTGTGTTTCCTTGATATAGAGTCTTACAAAGTCTTCAGCTGTTTTAAAATCCTGACATCATCCACATCAGGGTTTTCAAACCTTTTTCCTCCAATAAAGTCTTGTGTGGAGTCCCAATACATAAACAGAAAACACACCCACACTGAAGCAGCAGCAGAGGCCTCACCCACGGGCCTCTGGCTCAGCCTCAGGCGTGCCTCCTCTGTTCCGCAGCCCGTTCTGTGGGGCTGCAAGCATAGACTGGAGACCACTGCTCTGTCATTTTCCGTGGAACTGCTCAGTGACTGTGGGGACCCCACAGCAAAACGACTCACTTTGTTGCTGCGATGACTTTGCCTTGTCTGATGTGCTTTGAATATGGTTTCCTATTCTTCATACCTTGAGTTGGCCCCTGTTGATGTCTCAGCTTTTATAAAAGCACTGCAAAATGGCTGGCATAGCCATCTGTCTGACTGCAGATACTAAGAAATATGTGCCGGGGAAAATTTAAAAATAAAAACCAGAGAATCGGAGGCTGGGGACAGGATCTCCTGTGTAGAGTAGTGAAGGCCTCCCTTATTCTAGATGATCATCCAGGATGAGATGGGAGCAGCACTTAAGAAGGAAATCTCACTTGCAAAGCTCTTTGTTCTGCATAGCATCAATTCTCAGTTTCAGGGTTGGCTGGTTAGCCTATCAAGGTCAGAGTTTTTCCACAGATATGCTGATAAGAAGCTATAGGAAAGACAAGCACAGAAACCGAAAGATACTTATAAAACTCTTACTTGACAAATACCTACTCCCCTGAGGCTTGTACCAAGAATTTAACGCCTCCAGCTTAGAAATGTCTTGGCGTATGTAGGAGAAAAGTGGAGAAGTCGTTTTACACTCCATCGGGGGTGGAAGGAAACCATCCCAGCTCACCAGCTGGTGACTACCAAAGTGATCAGCCTTCAAGTCTGGTTTTGGAGTGCTGGTGTGGACAAGAACCACGATCCAGTTGCGGATATTGCCAGAGTCCCAACTGTTTTTAAAAGAGAAAATTGAAACAAATCCAAAAGCCCAGGATCTTGTAATACAGGGCAAACAGAACCAGAATTTTATGATAGTGTAACAACCATTTTTCAAGACTACAACACAATGTGGCACTGAAATACATTTTCCTAAAAGATTTATTTCATTTTATTTGAAAGGCAAACTTAGAAAGAAAGATCTTCAACTCACTGGTTCACTTCCTAAATGGCAGCAACAGCCAGGGCTGGGCCTGGCCAAACCCAGGAGCCAGGAGTTGCTTCTGGGTCTTCCACACGGGTGTAGGGGCCCCAAAACTTAGACCACTGTCTGCTGCTTTCCCAGGTACATTAGCAGGAAGCTGGATTAGAAGTAAAGTATCTGGGACTCAAACTGGTGCCCTTATGGGATGCCAGAGGTACTCTCTATCACCAGGGTTTTGATGCTAGTGATTCAGCATTAAATCACTTTAGACTATGAGCTATCAAAAAATGGATTTTAGAGAGCAGACATTTAAACAGTGGTTAAGCTACCACATCCCTTGGCAGACTGCCAGGAATCAAGTGCCAGCTCCATTCCTGATCCCAGAAGCTTGCCAATATACACCTGCCAGCATCGCAGAGCACCTGTGATGGCTCAAATGCTTGAGTCCTTGCCACCTTCCTGGGAAACCTGGATTGTGTGATCCTTGCCTCAGCCTTTCCCAGTTTGGGCTGTTGCAGGCATGAGGGGAGTCAACCACTGTCTGTTTCTCCCTGCCTTTCAAATAAAATTAAAAATATTTCCAATGAATTTGAGTAACAAGCATTTTGCCTAGTGGTTGCAACGTCTGCCTCCTTCATTAGAGTACCGAGTTCCATCTGGCTTTGGCTTCCGACCCTGAGAGACAGAGGTGATGGCTCAAGTAATTCAGTTCCTGCCATTGATATGGGAGATCGGAAATGCATTCCTGGCTCCCAGCTTCAGCCTGGCCTGGCACAGCCCGGGCTGCTGCAGGCATTTGGCAAATGAACCAACACATCAGAGCATTCTTTCTTTCCTTCTCCCTCTCCCTCTCTTTCTCTGCTTTTCAAATAAAAGACCTTTGAAAAAAAATGAGAATCCTTACTATATAGTTTATATTTAAACCAATACTGACTGATAAATGATTGTCATATATGAACAAATGTTAGAATTAGTTTTATTTTATTGTTTGGTAACTATTTAAATCGTTTAAATTTTAAATGTAAAATCCTTTTTTTAAAGCCTATAGTTTCTTGATATCCTATTTAATTACTAGCTGTTCTTTGTCATCTCCTTGACTATGCCTTGAGAGGGCCACCGGATCGCTTGTCGTTAGTCCCTCTGTGGGTCCCTTCATTTCTGTCATTTCTTCAGGTAGAACAGTATCCCCAGTAGTTATAGTCAGTCCTAGCTAACTTATTTCCTCAGTCATATCCAAAACTGCTGTGCTTTTTTCTTTTTTTTAAGATTTATTTGTTTATCTGGAAGGCAGAGTTAGAGAGAGAGAAAAAGATCTTCCATCTGCTGATTCACTCCCCAGAGAGCAAGGGCCAGAGCTGGGCCGGTCTGAAGTCAGGAGCTTCTTTCAGGTCCCCCATGTGGGTCATAGGGGCCGGAGTGAGCACTTGGACCATCTGCTGCCTTGCCTGGTACATTAGCGGGGAGTTGGATCAGAAGCACAGCAATTGGAACCTGAGGCAGCACTCCATTATGGGATGGTGACATTGGTTTTTTATTTATTATTTCAGATGAAGACACCGGAAGTGTAAGTGTGATAACGGCTTCAAGGCAGAAGACCATTCCTTCAGGCCGAGAACCGTACTGTGGTGTTTCTAACAGTCTCCCTGTGACTGCCTCCTGGAGTCCTAGGGGTAGAGAAACCTGTGAACAAAATGGCGGATTTGAAAGCAAACAAGAAAACCCCTCTCGAAAAAAACAACACAAGTGCAATGAATGTGGCAAAGTCTTCAGCCAGAGCTCAGCCCTTATTTTACATCAGAGAATCCACAGTGGAGAGAAACCCTACACATGTGACGAGTGTGCGAAAGCTTTCAGCCGAAGTGCAGTTCTGATCCAACATCGAAGAACTCACACCGGGGAAAAGCCCTTCCAGTGTCGTGAGTGTGGCAAAGCCTTCAGTCAGAGCTCGAACCTTTTCAGACACAGGAAGCGTCACACTAAAGAGAGGTCTCGTCTGTGTCACCAGGGAACCGAAGCACTTAGCTAAAGCTTTCTCAGCAACGTGAGGCGCTAGCAACCCTGGGGTTTTCTTTCAAGGGTCATAAAAGCTGGAGAAGAAAATGTAGACTATTTCTTGTCAGCATCATTGCCATTCTGCTTAGCAGTGTGGTGTCAGTTCATCCCTCAAAGCTTACGTCAGACTTCTACCCATACGCATCCCCGACAACCTCAGCATAGCAAGTGTCCATCATTACTAGAAATAATCAACTACATATCCCTTTTTAGATGAATGCTTTTCCCTAGAGAGAGAAAATATGTAATGTGAAAACAGATACTGCCTCCCATTTTATAATTTGAGCACCAAAATTACAAAGGCTAAACATTTAAGTACTTACATAAAACCCCCACTTGTCTCCTGTTAGCAGATTCAGAATATGAAGAGGAAGACTGAGGATCCCACGACACTGTCCCTCAAGCCCAAGGTCATTGTTAGGAAGCTGTTGAAGAAGGGACAGCATCTCATGAAAGCTCACAAGAAGCCTGCTCACGGCTCAGGACAATTTTATATGTTGGAAAAAGTCTTTATAATTTTAAAATAACGGAAGCATTAAGAACTTCCTACATGTATTTAAAGGATGATAAGCTAAATATAAGGAATGTTTTCATAATAAACAGGGCTGTTCTGTGGGTACTTGTATAAACTTAATGATTCAAGACCAATGGAACATGTAAGATTGGCAGGTGCAGTGTGTAGCTGTCAGGTGCGGGCCAGCATACCTAGAAAAGGAGGTCCTGAACCATGGTAACCACAGTTCAGTGGTTCCCACATTCCCATTCTGCTTAAGCCAGCCCTGAATACAGGTCAGGCGTCACGAGACTTTAGATTCTGATGCTGTTGTACACATGAGAAGATCACTAAGGGTCAAGCTGACGATTCTGCCACAGTCAGTTATAAGCAGTTGTTGACATAACCATCATGGTCTGTAGGTTCTATGTCCAGATTCTCACTATAGGGTATGAGTTGTTAAAAGTATGACCACAGGTTCAGTCAGACTTGTATGTCACTAAAATTATTCTGACAGGTACAACAAAATGTCCTCTTTCCAGGGATTTTTGCTAGAACCTGTCATTACTGTGTTTGCCGTCATGGTACAGTCACCTGCAGGGGAGGCTAGTGGCAGAGGTGGAAGTCATCAGAGGAAGGGAAGAAGTGGCTCATAGACCATGTTTTTGTCTAGCATCCAACTGTATCTAGTGTGTAAAGCAATTCCAGAAACAAATGTGGAATTTCTGTGTTCTACTTAACTGATAAATACTATAGAGGGACAAATGAGTACAAATATTACTATGGAATTTTTCTCATAGTAATTAGCTTGTAACTCCAGAAAATAAGAATACATCTGGAGTTTTGTGTATTTTCAGGTATAAAAAACATGTGAGTCTTTGTGGCTCATTCTTTTTGTAACTAAAGACAGGAATGATCCGTCTATTGAAGCATCTGAGGTATCTGCTAGGTGTTGAGAGGTGTACGTATTATGGATTAGTGCTTAGTAATGGAAAGAATGTCTTAGTCTCTTACAGGGCAGAGTCAAAGTCAGATATTCTGAGGGAAGTCTCTTTAGCTGCTGCCATGAACGTTGTATGTTTGCATTCTGTATCACTGTGAATAATCTGAGCTCCACCAGTAAGCTATTTAAATTGCATATAATGGATATTTAAGGGGTGTCTCTGTGTGCTTTGATTTATTTACACTCACATCATTCTAAGGGACAGGGCTAGCTTTTCTAAAAAAATTACTCTGCATTGAGCTAATATTGAAAGAAATGTACAGGTATTAGCACCGCCACTAGACTGGCTAATTTCCAGAGAAAAAGGAAGTATTCCAAGTGAAATTAGATGTTGTTTTTAGAATTCCACTTCATCTGTGCTTACAATATTACCAGGTAAGATGGTCTTTGAGTTTCAATGGTTTGACTTAGAATTCTTTTACTTCCAGTGATGTAAAAATAACATGCCGTTTACTTCTAATTCTGATCTTTGCCTTGCTAGTGATATGCAGTATTGAAAACCACATCTCTGAAAAGGATATGAGGATGCTATAACATGATATTATAAAATGATTCTGTAAAAAGTTCATGGCAAATGAAATCACATGTGAGCTTATTACGGTTTCCCCCAAATTTGAAATCCACAAAATGTCTTTCAAATGTGCTTTCCATGAACTTTTTCAAGACTCCCTCGCAAAAATCATGGTTTCAAAAATTTTCTGCACCAAAATAAACTTATTTTCTAATTCCATTTCTATAAAGTTTTCAAAGTACTCTGCACAAAGAATTCCTAGAATCCACTAATGCAAATCAACAATTCGTGTCCCATGAGTCTTAGTCTGTTGTAAGTGGCTTGGCTCTTGGAATGGCCGCATCACTAAGCCAGGCCACTGAGACATGATGTAAAAAACCTGCTTCTGGGAAAAGTTTGCTTTCTTCTAAAAACTAAAGCCTACAGTGGAGATGATACTTCCTACCAATATGTTCCTGTGAGTGGATGCTACACCATGAAGCAACACATGAAAAGGTAAGTGAAACTGAACATGTACATCAGAAGGGGACGGGAAGTGTTAGAAATGAGTTATCTAATTGTCACCTTAAAAAGTTATGGGAGAGCCTGACACAGTAGCCTAGTGGCTAAAGTTCTTGTCTTGCGTGTGCCAGGATCCCATATGGGCACCGGTTCTAATCCCAGCAGCTCCACTTCCCATCCTGCTCCCTGCTTGTGGCCTGGGAAAGCAGTCGAGGATAGCCCAAAGCCTTGGGACCCTGCACCCACGTGGGAGACCTGGATGGGGCAGCAGGCTCCTGGCTTCGGATTGGCTCAGCTCCAGCCGTTGCGGCCGCTTGGGTAGTGAATCAATGGATGGGAGATCTTCCTCTCTGTCTTCTCTCTGTATATCTGGCTTTCCAATAAAAATAAAATAAATCTTTTTGAAAAAAAGTTATGGGGAAAATAAAAGAGAAACTTAAGCAGAAGGAGTAATTAAAAACAAAAATTGGAGAGGCTTTGGTTCCAGGTAAGGAGATGTAAGCTTTCTCTGCCCTCTAACACCCACTGAGAAAAAGATAAACCCCAAAGCGTATGAGCGATTCACTGAGTTGTCTTTTTCTTCCTGTTGTCTCCTACGCTTGAGTAAGTTCATCTGAAACCCAGCAGCACACATAGTGCTATATGACAAGTGGTCTGTTATGGCCCTGGGAGTAGGAAAGTGGGCTCCACAGAGTCCAGGGGAATGGGAGAAATCCCATATAGCTTTCCCTTCATTTCCTTTTTAGCTAACCAACCTCCGATGATACTCTGGCAGCATCAGCAACAGCAGCCCAGTGGCAGCAATAGTAACAGAAAGCTGTAACCGAGAGGAAGGGCAGCCCTTTGCTCTGATAAGAACTGCTTTACTGCTAGGAGCATACTGTGAAAAGTCTCCCATGGCTTTTTATTATCTTGTCCTCTGGCTACTTGGACCAGGAGGCAGATGCCTTTGGAGAAGTTAATAGTACAGTGGGGAAGCTAAACCCCAGCTTTAAAGCTGAAAGATCAGTAAGGAAGCTCCAGGGAGCCAGCAAGCTTTAAAGCGCAAAGGGAATGGGGGTCAAGTGTGATCCCCTGCAGTTGTACATGAACTGTCTGAGTTGCCTGCAAACTGTGTGTACATTAGGCTGGCCCTGGAGCAGAGCACAGGCACTGAGCGTGGAGTTATCGGGTTGACCTCTGCTCAGGCCCTGGCCTGCCCGCTCGCTGTGTGGCACACCTGAAGGATAGACCCAAGATGCATGGGGAAAATTTTGAAAACCTTTACACTGGAACCACTTAATTCAGCTCTAGTGAAGGCCTCTTCCTATTTTGTAGCGGGAACCCTCTCACTGTATCCTCACATCACACACACACACACACACACATCATCATCATCATCATCATCATCATCATCAACTGTCTTGGATACCCCATTAGTTCCATATACTTCATTATCCAATTATCTTTCCAAAGTTCCACCCTCAAATTTCATTACATTAGGGTTTCAACACAAGGATGTTGGGGAGACATGAGCATTCAGTCTGTAGCAAAAGCTAGCACACAAAAATCAACTTACAAATATATACTGAAATGAACTGGAAATTAGATTTCTAAAATACCACTGAAGGAGCCGGTGCTGTGGTACAGTAAGTTAAGTCTTCGCTTGCAGTGCTAGTAACTCATATCGGCGCCAATTTGTGTCCCTGAAGCTCCACTTCTGACCCAGCCACCTGCTAATACGATTGGAAAAGCAGTGGAAGATAGCCCAGGTGCTTGTGCCCCTGCACCCATGTGGGAGACTCAAAAGATGCTCTTGGACCCTGGGTTCAACCTCGCTCAGTCCTGGCAGTTGTAGCCATTTGGAGAGTGAATTAGTAGATGGAAGATTCTCTGTCTTTCCCTCTCCCTTTCTGTAACTTTTTCGTAATAATAAGATTTTGAAAATATTATCAGCAACTTTATGTCAATAAATTAGACAAATGAAATTTTTAAAAAAAGAATTACCCATAGCCCATATTACCCATAGCCGGGTAATAATGTTGTTGCCTTCCTTTCCAAATCCCAAAGATCTGGGTATGTTAGCAGTTGAAAGGGAGAGCTTTACATGGGAGATGCCAACATCTGCCAGAGCTTTGTTTTCAGTTCCTGGCAACACAGATTCCTGGGGCAGTACATCTATTTGCTAAAATAGAAATGTTATAATGCTACATGCAAAGTGCCTAAAGGGAGATACTTCGTATCTGAAAGCTTGAGAATGCTAGGAAAGGTGGCTCACGGGTGGGCTTTGATAACTTCACATCTGAAGGTCTGCGCTTTTCTGCAGTATGCAAACTGTTCTCACCTCACTCCTCTGTCTTGGGTGCCTGCCTTCCCTCTCAGCTAACTACCTTATTTAAGTGCAGTAAATCTGCACGGTCTGCCTCTAGCAAGAAGGCAAAGTTAAGATAATTAGATCTTCATTTTATATGTATCAAGCTCTCTGGAGAGGTAGTTATCCATTGTTTGTTTGACCATTCATTAATGGGTGATAATTTTGGTAACATTGCAAGATTGAAAGACATAAGTGGGCTCAATGCAATGACCCAGCATCTAAATCCTTGCCTTGCACGTGCCAGAATACAATATGGGTGCTGGTTCCATGTTTGAGGTGTTCACTTCCCATCTAGCTCCCTGCTTGTGGCCTTAGAAGGCAGTAGAGGATGGCTCAAAGCCTTGGCAGCCTGCACCCATGTGGGAGACCCAAAGGAGGCTCCAGGCACTTGGTTTTGGATCAGCTCAGCTCTGGTCGTTGTAGCCACTTGGGGAGTGAACCAGAGGATGGAAGATCTTTCTATCTGCAGCTCCTTCTCTCCATAAATCTGCCTTTCAATAAAAATAAATCTTTAAGAAAAAAAGACATAGCCAGATGCCAGCTACTTGTGTGTGTGCTTTTGTCACACAACAAAATGACACCAAAACAACGTGGTCAGATGACTGCAACAAGAATTGCCAACTGTCAGGGTTACAGCCATATTGCAGGTAGGTCTTTCTGTGATCTACAACTGTGGTCTCGGGAGGGGGACCGAAAGCCTCACCAGAACCCAGGAAGCAGTGAGAAAGTGCCTCCTGTAAGCCCCCTTAGAAAACAGGGCCTGTTAGTAGCTGCTTGTAAGTCCCCCATGTTCTCAGGTTCCAGGGGGATTGCAAGGTGTTTTGTTAAGACTCAGGTCAGCTGCTGTTCAGGTCTGGCCTAGTCAATGCGGTGACACTTGTTCCCTACCCTGAGTTTGCCAACAGAATCATGAGGGTCTCGATTTAATATGGCAAGAAGGACCAACATTCAGGGAAATGCCCACCTAGTAGGGTTCAGAATGTTTAAAAGTGGGTGTTGTTTGTCCCTATGTTATAAAGAATACATCGGAGCCGTTGTGGCGTAGGGGTAAAGCTGCTGCCTGCAGTGCTGGGGTCCCATGTAGAGGTTCAATTCCTGCCTGCTCTGCTTCTCATTCAGCTCCCTGTAGTGTTTCCCAGGAAAGTAGTGTAAGGTGGACCAAGCGCCTGGGTTCCTTGACCCACACAGGAGACCCAGAGCCACCCAGAGCCCTGGCCACTGAGGCTCTCTGTAGAGTGAACCAGCAGGTGGAGCCCACTCACTCTGTGTCTTTCCCTTGGTCTCTATGACTCTTTCAAATAAATAAAACACATCATTTAAAAAAGCAAATTAATGGGCCTGGCACAATAGCACAATGGTTAAGGTCCTCATCTTGAACGTACCAGGATCCCATATGGGTGCCGGTTTTAATCCCGGCTGATCCAATTCCCATCCAGCTCCCTGCATGTGGCCTGGGAAGGCCGTCGAGGACGACCCAAAGCCTTGGGACCCTGCACCGGCACAGGAGACCCGGCAAGAAGTTCTTGGCTCCTGGCTGGATGGTGCAGCACTGGCCGTGGCGGCCACCTGGGGAGTGAACCATTGGATGGAAGATCTTCCTCTCTGTCTCTTCTCCTCTCTGTACATCTGCCTTTCCAATTAAATAAATAAATCTTAAAAAAAAAAAACAAATTAATGAGGACTGTCACATTGTGGACTACACTTACTATTTTAGAAAGAATAGTGAGAACAGAACAGGGAATCACAGGCCAAAGGTTTTGCAAATTTTTCAAACACTTTTAACTTCCTCAAGTATTTGTTTGCCTCTCCCCCCCCCCCCCAACGTTAATTAGATACAAAAACTTCAACCCTAAACCCAACCAAAACAAAAATGCCTTGAACTAGCCCTTTAGGGAAGGGGGAAGGGTTGGAACAGGGGCCAAGCAGGAGCATGGAAAGGCTGGGTTTCTGGTTGTCTCAAAGGATTAAAAAGCTTCAGCAGGGGGCTGGCAAAAACTGCTCTGGTCATGGTGAAAAGCAGCGCTGTACCACTTGCTCTCCAGTTCATGAATCCAGCGAGCGACACTTGACAGAGGGAGATGAAAGGCTGACGGGCCCTGAGATGCTTCTGGAAAGCCTGAAATAGCAAGGGTCCTGGGGGAGATCTCCTGTGTCCGACCTCGGAGCTAGCGTGGGCAGCAAGGCAGCCAGCAGGCCACACATTCCTAAACGTTCCAGAAAGATACTGAGTGCTCTCCGTGCAAGGCAGACGGCATCCCGGGACTAGGTGGGGACAGCGTGCTAAACGGGACATACAGGAGCCATGTCCTCATGGCCCTTACACACCAAGCCAGTACACAGCTCCTTACAACGACATGGCAGGGGTGGAGGGGAGAAGGCTCCCGTGAGGAGACCCGGGACTTTTGGGGCCACGAGACTGCGACCCGAGAGTTCAGAGTTGGGGACGCAGGCAGGCAACGCCAGTGTCCGTATGCTCCATGAGGTAACAGGACCTTTACAAAGGCGATCTGGTTGACGTTGTCATCACATGCACGCTGTTTTCTGGTGTAAAACAGCCAGCTTGGAGTTAGAAGATGACTACAGGTTCTGGCATCGCACTGCGACACCACCGCCAGGGCTCCTAACCTGTCATATTGATTTCCCTGAAATACCCTGGTCATAACAACGCTTTGTGGCAAGGCTGGTGAGAGCCAGAGGGACAGCCCTGGTATTGGTTTCAATTCTTGTTTACCAGCGAGGTACCGTGAAATATGAACACTACGGTACATACAGTGACAGGGACAGCAGCGGGCACAGTGTGGTAAAGCTTTCATAAATATCACTTCTATCACTTCTCGGCATTACTGTGTACACAGGAGGTAGTGCATGTGAAACGGCTTGCCCAACTAAGGCCGACCTTAGGGGTCCAGCCCTTTTCTTCCCGCTCCCGGTCTCTCCCGGAGCGGAGGCGCGGGGCCAAGCGCAGCCTCAAAGCGCCCATTGTCAGCAGACCCGCCCCGCCCCCGCGCAGGGCCCGTCTCCATGGCAACGCGGGGCTTGGCCTTCCTCCGCCTCCTCGGGCCTGCAGACCGGAAGCAGTTCGCGCTCGGGGTTTCTGGGAAAACGGGTCGGGAGCGGCGTTTCTGCGTCGACCGCGGACTGCGAAGCTACAGCGGTTCCTGAGCCAGAGGTCTGTGCGGGAGTCGGGGGACGGGGCTGAGGCGGGAGCGCCGAGCTACGGCCTGGGCCCTCCCGCGACGCAGAGCTTTCCTCCGCTTCCTGGGAGGTGCGGGCGGGGCAAAGGCCGCGCTCGCCGAGCCCGGGTGCTCAGGGGTGGCAAGGAGGAGCCGGGAAGCCGCCTTCGGGCCCCGACGGGCGCGGAGAGCCCTCCGTCCCCGATGTCCTCCGCGACCCTCCCCGACCCCTCCCCCACCGCCCGTTTTGTTCTATTTCGAGGCCCTG